TATTGTTTACTTTTTCCTTTGCATCTTTTTTATCTGTATGGTCTACTTACTGAAAAGGGGACTGCCCCCTTTGATTTGTCAATGTATCAATCAATTTCTCTCCCCCACCACCCCATATTGTTACCCATTACAAGTCCCCAAAACTCTTGATGAAGTTTTGACCCTATCAGTTAGTGATTAATTGAGAAGGCTCTGTCTCTCATTAGAATCAGATGGGGGAATATGAAAAATGATTTATTTATTTATTTTTAGTTATCATTATTTTGGAGACTCAGAGCTTCCTCATCCTCTTTTTCTTTTTTTTTCAAAATTCAGTTCTTCTTCAGAAGGACATTAGGATCTAATCTAATGGCTCTATTCCTGCTTATTGTGTTACCTTGATAGATCTGGGAGAATGTTGATTCCTCCCTATTGTCAAGACAGGTGATATGGAAATTGATATCTCTTTGACCAGGATTAAGTGACCTAAATCACATGTACTCAAGACCCTCATTTTAATATAGTCCACCTCCCAGTGTGTTGACCAGTCAGAGTTTATTGGTACCCCTTGGGAACACCAACTCTTCAAAGGGCATATAACTGTATTCCCAACCCCTAAATTGAGCCAGTTGTGGACTGGCCCCCTTAGGGGGACCAATTCTGAACTGTAACTCTAATGCAATGCATGTATGTTCCAGCTTGCAAGGGAAATTAAATGTGGACAGCCTAATTTTATTTGTCTTTCTTAGAACAAACTCTGAAAAGTTGACAATATATACATATATACATATGAGTAAATATACAAGTATACAAAATACATACATATATACAAATATGTTTAGATATAATAGTATGCAAGACATATAAGTGAGGTAATTCTCATTTAATCATGAATCTGTATGTATGTGTACATTTACGTATTGTTATTATATATTATATATGGCAGCTAAATGGCATAGTAGATAGAGCTCTAGGTCCAAAGTCAAGAAGACTCATCTTCCTGAGTTCAAATCCAGCCTCAGATACTTATTAGCTTTGTGACCCTGTTCAAGTTACTTAACCCTGCTTGACTCATCTGTAAAATGAGGTGGAGAAGGAAATGGCAAATCACTCCAGTATCTTTGCCAAGAAAACCCCAAATAGGGTCACAAAGAGTCAGACATGACTGAAAAACAACTGAACAACAATTATACACTCACACATATACGTATATTTATATTATTTACAAATACACAAATGCACACACACATGTGGATACACACACACATACACACCCCCACACACACATCCACACACACATACACACACACACACAAATACCCATAAGGTAAAACAAATCATAAGAATGTTGGAATAGGGACAGGGGAACAATATGCCAAGCAATATGCTAAGTGATTTACATCATTTAATCCTCACAACAATCCTGTGAGAGCAAAGCTTAAATAGATAACTGAAAAAACACTTCTAATATATTAAAAGGTAAACCTATTAAAAAACTTACATACGTACCTCGTGAAAAATATTAATGTTAACTTAATAAGACTCTTCTCCATACTTGGGCAGGATCTATATGTTGATTAACTGATAAGAAATCCTGGTTTCTGCTTATTGATCACAATATATATTATTATGTAGTTTTGTTTCTTTTTTTAACCTTAAGCTCCAATATACTGGCATTAAGCTTATGGATCTTATTTATTCTTAATTGTAATTATATATTAATTTCTACATTCCATTGAAAAACTATTTGTACTTATATATTAATTCTACATTCCACTGAAAAACTATCAAAAATTTCTGAAATCTTTGATTTTCTAATTTAAAATGAATTTAAGGTACATCTTCCTAAAGGTTCTCCATTGAATTCAGGGGTATGCTTGGGTATAGCCTAAACTTAACCTGTCATGTAACATTGTAGAAGGTGTTGGTAGAAGGTGTTGGCTCCAACGTTAAAACTCTAATGGTTCAAAGTTAATAGCAATATTCTCGATGATCTGTGACCTTATCAATGTAAGTACTCCCCTCATTGATGGAGATTACAACTCATCCATTCCTGATCTTGCCCATATCTTCCCATAAATTTGTTCCCAGGGGTATCTACCCAGCATGAGGAATCTTTCTTGGGTTTTCCTATCATTGGCAATAGTGATGTAGCACATAAGGAATCTGTGACTTATTTCTTGCTTCCATTATGTAACCAAACTACTTTTTTTTAACATGAGTTTTATAGCATCTTTGCCAGCTTTCCTTGAATAATTTTTTTTTCTTGGTGATAATGGTACAGCCTGCTTGTAGCCACCATGTGCTTCTTTGTCTATTGCCTTTCCCTTTATTTCTATAAAAATTGAAGATTTCATTAAGAATATCTTTATTAAGAATTCAAGGAAATTGTAGGCCTTCTGGGCAATATCTGAGTCAAAGGGGAAAAATCTGCCTTTTTTTTTCCCAATAAAAAGGGGTTCTTAATCTGTGGTCCATGGATAAATTGTAGGCAGTCCATGAACTTGCATGGGAAACAATGTACACCTTTATTCCATTGTAATTTATTATATTTATAATTTTATGTGTTTTATCATATACATTTTAAAAAATTATTCTGAGAAGGGAACCATAGCCTTTACTAGACTACCAAAGGGGTCCACAGCATAAAAAAAAGGTAAGAATCCTTGTTTTAAATGTTATAACAAGATCAATAGTTTAAGTCCTTTATCTTTAAGGAGCTTTAAGTCCTTCTCTTAAGCTAAATCCTTTTCCATATTGCTCAGGGACACATTCAAACCTAAGATAGGGAGATGCATAAATGCCCTAGGAAGCCTTTTGTTTTCTCTGTCTCCTTCTCTCTCTCTTTCTGCCTCTCCCTTCATGATGGGGTGCTTGGGTGGTTGTGCTTGTACTTGGACCCCAATTTCTCCTTAGTTTCAGAAACCCTGTCTCTGACAACCACTCCCCAGTCCAAGGACACTGTGCCTAGCAGTTATTCATGTGTGGGCCCCAGCATGACTCTTATCTCTCTCCCTGGTGCAACTACACACACAAAGCTGGGTGAGAGAGTGCTGGGCTGCTCAGGCCCCAGCCCTCAGATCATGTCTTTGGAAGCCTCCCAATTTCTTATTAAGTTCCTGTCTTGTGAGAAAGCTTTCCCTTGTTGCTGAGCATTCTCTCATCAAGACAGAGGGAGAGCAGTGCCTTGCCCAGCCCAAGGAATTTTGTCCTTGGCCGGCCCAAGGACTCTTCCTCCTGTCAGACTCCAAAGATCCATACCTCTGTCATCTTCCACCCTGTCCGGTATACTCCCTGTACTTTCTCATCCATAACTCCCAAAGACACCTGGAACTTTAGATTACCTCATCAGTGTCCCTGGCATTCCTTTCCCATGCCCTTTTCCATATAAACCCTAGCTCTATCCTCAGTCTCTCACAGGTTCCTTAAGAGTCCCTGCCTGCTGAAAAGCATAACAATAAATCTTTGCCACCTTGACTTAAAGAATGCTTGAGGCTGTGAATTCATTCCAGACGACCCCATCCTGTACACTAGTCTTTGAGGGGTCTCAACCTCTCAGACCACAACATTCAAACTAGCTCATTCTCTGAATTTTCACCTATGGCTTCTTTAGGATTCCATGCTATATATTTATTTGTATTCTTAACAGCCTTAATACTAACCATATTGCCAATATGGTTAATTTTTAACTCACTATCTCAAATGAAAATCTCATTTCAAACATGTTGAGATCTTTCTTAATTCCTTTAGTTCTTAATGGTTCTTCTTCATCACTTGGTATTGATTTTGAATTTTTTTTATTTATTCTTCTATAAATAAGTTGTACTCTCACCGTATTCCCCCTTATAGAATGTAAATTCCTCGAGAACAGGGTCCGTCTGATTTTGGTAATTGTACTCCACAGTGCCCAGCACAGTGCCTGATGTGTAGACACATCATAAATATGGTTAGTAGCTATTTTCTATTTTTATGGAGAACAAGGAAATGAATATTCACTGGATTTAAGTTGCAGTTTGGTAGATTGTGATAAATGCTAGGAAAAACTCTAGTTATTAAGAGCTGGTGGACTTTTTAACAGCAGAGATGTAATTAGAAATTCTGAAGCAAATATGGAGGAAAGACCACCAAAGTCCCCCAAAACAGCAGGGCAATTCAGTTTTTAATATGGATTCAATAGAGGGGAAGTGTCTCTAAAGAGACTAGGATTTGGAGAGAGACCTCAGGCTACTATCTTGCAAAGAGGGAAACAGATACAAAGAAACTGTCTACCTGGCAGAAAGAATTAGGATTGAGCTGGGAATCAAGTACGGAGGAGGAGGAAGCTAGGTATCTGGTAGTTTATTTTTTATTTTTAATAATAATAATGATGGTGATGATGATAACAACAATAACAACAACTATAATTATTTTGCCAATTCTGTGCTAATATTGTTTTTACCTGATGAAGGAGTACGTGTTTTATTAGCACCCTCTAAAATTCAGCACCTCAGGGCAAAAACTGTGGTTGTTATGCTTGTTTTTCAGTTGTATTTAACTCTTGGCCACCCCATTGGGGGTTTTCTTGGCAAAGATACTACAGTGGTTTACCATTTCCTTTTCTTGAAGAAACTGAGGCAAATGGGGTTCCCAGGGTCACACAGCTAGTAAGTGTCTGAAGCTGGATTTTGACTCAGGTCTTCCTGACTCCAGGTGCTCTATCCACTCTGCCACCTAGCTGCCCTGGATATACAACCAGTTGCACCTGCATAATTATGGAGGTGATTATTAGGGTTAATTGGAGCTACCAAGTTTTCTGGTATTTTTAAGAAGACTGATGATATAATGGATATCTTTGGGTAATAAAGGAAAAAAAAGGAAAACAGACCATTTTTACCTATTTGATAATATGTTTTCTTAATGAATTAGTTGCTTTGAAAATTAAAAGTTACATATAATTATTGAGAAAAGAGAATCATTAATAACACCCCTTCAAAGATAAATATTGTGACGCAACCAAATGATATCCAATAGATAATACTTACATTAGCCAAATGTGCTAATTCTATCTCCAGAAAAGCATCTGTTGTTTTGGGTTCAGGCCTTATTGTCACCACGATAATTTTGGAATTAACGACAGTAAAATTTCTAGAAGAGAATAATAATTGTTACAAGGAGAAATGCTCGATCAATAATACTAATTGTTATTATAATCACATTATACCTCGAATTATAAAAAAATGCTATTTAGCTCTAGAAATTATGCAGGAGCTTTTCTGCATAATACAATCAGTTTTAGATGGGAAGATTAGAAACAACAATGACGAGACTGCTATTGCTTGAATTTGATTCACAGATGAGAGAGACGGCTTAGAAACTCAGACCTCCTGGGAATCTTTAAATGGGTATCATTTATTTATCTCAAGGTGGATTTAAAAATTTTATTCTCCAGGAAGTAGAAACCCCACCCCCTTTTCTTGTGGATGTTAGGCTACCTTAAAAGATACTTGGATGAGTGAAGTGAGGGATGCCATGTATGCAAATAAGATTTAAACTTGAATAAGTATTCTTTCTAAAGATGGTAAGTCTTGTTTCCATAATAGAGATCTGTAAGTCTTTGGTTATCTCTATATTCTCTGAGATGTACACTTATGCTTTTAAAATATCTTATTAAAATACACTATTCTCTGAAAAAAAATCATGTTATTTACAAAAATGTCCCAAGAAAAGGAAATTGTTTTACACACTATATATTTAACTATCTATAAACACATTTTATGGATAATTTTATATGCTAATATAGCTTAAATTTTTTTTATTTTTCAACAATATAAACCTTTTACCTAGTAAAAGTCCTACTCTGGTGCCTCAATATTGCATGGAGATGACCCTGAAGCATGTAAGGCTATGACAGTAGTGTGCAAACTCTCACAGGTCCTCCTAAGCTAGAAAACCTTTAACCTCAGGAATGGTTAATGACTGAGCTATTCAACTTTCAGGTGGCCCATACCCAGAAGTCTGGCCACTGGGTGATGAATGATTTTTTTCTCAGTGGCTTCTCAAGAAACAACTAAAAAGTGGCTTGCTTGGGATCAGTGATGGTAGAGAGAGAATGCAGGCTAATGATATTAGAGGTTTGTTAATGCATTGCATTTTAATGTATTATATTTAATAGTTTAATCTACTTATAATATTTTACTCTATTTGAATATTTTTTACTACATTCAAGATTTTAATGTATTGAATTAATTATTTTAAATGCCTATAAGAAAACCAGTACTTTCTAGGCTATCTTCCTATACTAGCTGATATCTGCTAACAAACAAGATTCTGCTAACCATATTCTTTAGGGTCCAAAGGGTTTAAATGAGGTACCCATGACAGCAGATAAATCACTTATTTGTCTTCTCTCTGCTCTATACTTTCCATTTGGAATAAGCAGCATGGTTTTCCACAAGTCATGCATTATTCAGGCCAGGCTTTAGCATCTATCACAAGAGGCTCCTCAATTTCAATACTGTTAAAACAATGTGACACATCAGCTCCTTGGTGATTTCATTTTCTTTAAGGGTACAGGCTTTGGGGGGAAAATTCATGAAGTGTTAGTGAGCTTTGGAAAATTATTGTCTCTGTGTTAGGAATGTAGCTTATTTATTGGCTCAATAACTCTGAATGAGTCTTTTAAAAAGGGTGCCAGGTCTCCAACCTTTCTGTCGAGTGCATTATCTGAACTTTTCAAAAAATAAAAACTTAAATACTTACTAGGTTTCAAAATATTTACCTCTATTCCCACAAATTAAAAAAAAAATTTCTTTCTTTGGATGCAAAAGAGAGGGAGACATTATGCTTTCTTGGGATTTATTATTTCCACATCCACTGTTAAGGCCTTCTACAATTAGTACCTGTATAGGAGTCTGGTTCCCAATTCCTGATTGTGGTATAAAATGATTTAGGTTTTCAGAGACCATGCTACTTGACTGTAGTGCCTACAAAACTAGGAATGTTCTTAGCCTGGGACCAAGAACCAGCCTAGGTAAGTATGGATAGGTTTATTACCAAAAAGGTAAGCGATGGATTTTTCATCTATTTCAATTTGTGGAACAGAGGAAAAATGCAAAATGGCTTTCAGTGATGTGAATCCTCCTTCTATGGAAGGAGTACTAGTGGATAAATAGAGAAATGTATTAAGCATTTACTATGTGCCAGGCACTGTGTGCTGGGGACACAATTACAAACAAACAAACAACAACAAACAGTGCTCGTCCTTGGGAAACTTAAATTCCAATGGGTGAAGACAGCACATAAAAGAGACAGAGCAACGGACATAGTCTCAGGAAGACCTGAATTAAAATCTTACTTTGATACTTGTGTGTCCCTGGGCAGATTACTTAACCTCTGTCTGCCAGTTTCCCCATTTGTCTTATTTCTTCTTTCTCTTGGTTCATCCCATTAGTTTGAATTCTTCTATACATCATGATTAATATGAAAATATGCTTAATATGAATGTATAAATAGAGTCTGTACCAGATTACATGCCATCTTGGGGAGGGGGAAGGAGAAGGAGGGAGAGAAAATTTAAAACTCAAAATCTTATGGAAGTGAATGTTGAAAACTAAAAAAAGAATTATTAAAAAAAAAGAAATTGAAAGCTTATGGGAGCAGAGGTGATGTTTTGTTAATTGATACATATTGAAGGAAAAAGATATGGAAGAGAAAAAAATGATTTGGGAAGTAAATAGCAGGCTGATAAGGTGGTGTCTGATAGAGGAATTTGGATTTCAGGACCACACATAGCTTAAACTACACCAATGAATTCCTGACTAGGAATAGAGTGCCTACAACAAAAGTTGAAAAGATCATATCTACCTATTAAACTGCAAATCTAATTAAAATGGTTTTCAACTAAAAAAAAGGAAGGAAAAAACTGTCTCCCATAGGATAATAATATTAAATGATCTAATGCTTAGGAAAAGCCTTAAATTTCCTGATCAGTACTAGATCTGATGCTGTTCTTATATTTCTCTTTGAATAGTTGTGGGGAGAGCTTGTCTTTCTACTACAGTATCTTTTCTGATCTATCAAAATCAATTAATGCATAAAACAGAGAGATATGTTTGATGAATGTTTGCCAGTTTCATGTAAGATGTCCTGAATCAATTGAAAAATAGAAGAGGAATTCCCTATGGATGGCAAGATACTCAAGATTCTCCTGTTTGTGGATATTAATACAGATTATATCAAACTACACTACTGTAACTTCTTTATGTAATAAATGACAATTTAAAATAGATCAGCTGATATGTTCACATGGGATAAACTACACATTTTAATGGATATGGATAGATATTTTTTGTGAGGACATAAATAAAAATTACACAAGATGAGAAGAAATGGATGGATCGAAATCTATTCTAAGGGAGGTAGTACCCACATGATTGAGATAATATGTCCATCAAAGTATCAATATATTATGTGATAGTAGAATATACGATTAAAAAAAATAACCTTCAAATACTGAGCTAACCAGGGCTGAGATTCATTTCTTCAAGCTTGTTCCTTTGAATAGAGTTGGAAATAAGGAGTTCATATCTAGAAAATCTATGTAATTCATATAGCTAGGAGGAAAGACAGGTCCCCTCTGACAAAGAATTATGCTAGTAAAGTAGCAATGGCATGCAGGAAAGATAAGAGTAGGAAACATTTTTGTCACCTAGAAAAATCATTTCAATTAGGAGCTCATTTGAGGAGGAAGTATTATCTAGAAGTATAGATATCTTTGGGTATTCAAGTACCTGGGAATTTTTAGATAACTATGGTATATTTAGGGTACCTACTTGCTAATCAAATAAAATAATACATAAGCCAACAAAAAAAGAATTATTCTTTAGCATTCATTTATGTATTGTATCATTGTTTACAACCACATTCTTAACTATTTCTTGGAAGCTAAGCTGTGATATCATTGGAATAGGAACTCATGGTGAGGAAAATCTTTCTACCAATGTCAATGTAGGTATGCTGTATAATTTGTAATTTTGAAGAGTTGTGTAGAAGCTAAATGGGTTACTAAGGGTCACATAGACTGTATATATTATAGGCTAGACCAGAGATGTCAAATATACAACCCATGGGTCATACGCAGCCTACAACATTAATGAGCATGGGCAAAATTAAATTAAAATGTAATTGGGAAATATTTTAAAAATAAATAAAATATAACAAAACATAGATAATATTACATTTTGAAACTGTCAATCTGTAGCCTGCAAGGATCCCTATGTAGAACTTAGTGGCCCTTGTTTCTCTTTGCATTTGACACCACTGGGCTAGACTCAAACCCAGTTCTTTCACAACTGATAGGTGGCTATCTAATTACACTAAGCTTCCTCTCGTATTTGATATTTCCTATGATTCTTATTCAACAACTTGTATCTACTTCTGGTATTGATTAATATTTGATAATAATGGATAAGAAATAAATACAACAATAAAGAAATTTTGAGTGAGGATGATTAAAGAGAATGTCCAAGGTAAATGTATAATGATTGTCTTAAAATACTTAGGAATATCATGATTTCACACTAAGGAAGGAAAAAAAACAAATCAACATCACACACTGGATCCTAATTAAGAAGTACTCATTGCATATTATTTTCTTTAATTTATTACATCACTATATCCTAATTTGCATAAGTGAAATGCCTGGCTCTTGATGGACCATGTCAGATTTTGTGATCCACTAATATTCTCAGGTTGTGTACAAGGTTTGCATTCATGTCCAGTACTTCAGACCTTATCTCCCAGCCAAATGGAGTTCATGACTGAAGCAATTAAACTCATCTTTTCTGTTCCTGATATTTGTGTTTGCTAGTCTATTTAGTTTTTTAAACACTCAAATTACATAGGTGTTTTCTGAGCATTCTTCAAAAAAAAAAGATGACATTATTTGTGATTTTGTGATGTGTCTAGGAGGGGCTACTGATACAAATTTTATTCTAAAAAGCAAACAAACCTGCCCTTAAAGCTGAGTTTTGTCTTTGTTTAGTTTTGACTGACCCTTTGTGACCCCATTTGGTGTTTTCTTGGCAAAGATAAAGGAGTAGTTTGCCATATCCTTCTCCTGCTAATTTTACAGATGAGGAAATTGA